GTGAAATTTCTCCCCACAGAGATATCTGCAACCAAACTGAAAATTCTCAATCATACCTCTCCAACATGAGTCTATCAGATTCTAAACTTCCCCAGTAGAGATCCCCAGGAATTCTCATCCCCGCAAGTCATCAAGGAATGCCATTTCTCCAGCAGTGGCCCTAAAATCCCTCAACAATTAAAGATCTTGTATTCCCCAAGCAGGGTGAAGGCTCACCCTCAGTGTCTCTCAGGATAATCAGATGTTCTCCAGTGAAGATCTCCTCAAGACAAGAGTCCCCAGAAGATTGGTATACAACCCAAGTTCCTGTTTCTCCAGCAGGAGTCAAGAAGGATGTCTCATCCTCAGCAATCAAAATTCTTGTCTTCCCCTGCAACAGTCAAAGATTCACTTCCCCGGCGGCAGTCAAGATTCTTTATCTCCAGGATTCATCTATCCTCATCAAAAACAGCTCTTCAGCTTACATATGCATTCATTTGCATTCATATCATAAACATTGATATAACATATTTTGCATCATACATATCATGCAGCATAACTTTGTGTTTTAGCTAACATTTCACCCTTTTCAGGATAAGATTAAAATGTTATCATTAACAATCATTCAGATACAGTATGGATACACCCCAGACATGGCGGTCATTCTATTACTCATTCAGCATTTCAAGTCAGATACAGTGCAGATACACCCCAGACACGGCGGTCATTCTATTACTCATTCAGCATTTCAAGTCAGATACAATGCAGATACACCCCAGACACGGCGGTCATTCTATTACTCATTCAACATTTCAAGTCAGATATAGTGCAGATACACCCCATACACGACGGCCATTCTACTACTCATTCAGACTACAGCAATCAGATACAGACTAGATACGCTCCAGACACGGCAACCATTCTATCTCTCATTCAGATTCATTTATCCACCTCAAGGTTCAATGCATTCCAAACACGGATATCATTCTGACCCTTACAACAGCGGTTCGATTCTCCCCAGTACGTTCGCCACGGAAGTCATTCTGTCATTTATTTAAGATCCTAGTTATAGTTTCAGATACACTTCAAACACAGAAGTCATTCTATTACTCATACAGATCTCAATCCCAGTTACAGTTTCAGATACACTCCAGACACAGAAGTCATTCTGCTACTCATACAACTTTCAATACAGTCCAGATACACTCCAAACATGGTTGCCATTATGTCACTCATTCAGAATTTGTCCCCAGCACGCAGTTGCTCCATACAGAGGTTTCTCTGTTACCCAGATACGATACAGATACACTCCAGACACGACAGTCATTCTGATATTCGTTATACACTTCAAACACAGTTACAGCTCAGATACGCCCCAGACATGGAGGCCATCCTTCTGCTCATACAAACGCAGTCCTTAGATGCAGTTCAAGTACATTCCTGACACGGATACCATTTTGATCCTCATTCTTCTGACCCGTCACACTACAGTTCAACAAACCTCCCAGATGGCATCTTTAAGCCCATCCCCGACGAGATTCTGTCACCCTTCTGATGGCATCTTTAAGCCCATCTCCAAATGGCATCTCTAAGCCCATTCCCATATCCATTGTTCTGATAAGTGCAAATTTAAGGGCACTCTAGTGTCCAATCTCCTTTTACCTTCGAGACGCGAAAGGCAAACCTGCCAATCTAACTCTTCAGGTGCAAGAAGATTGAACAGGGGCAACTGTTGTACCCCAAAATTTGCCCTCCCATTTCCTCAACATTTTCTCACCACAAGACCCTTGGAGCTCAAGATCCAGTTAGGGTTTCCTCTGCTCAAGACTCCTCTTTGCACTGTTGACCCAAATTAGGGTTTGTGTTTGCACAAAGATGTTTTGACCTAAAATGCCTAAGATGACTTTCATGCTTCATGTTGGACTCCCAAGTTTACCCATACCAAATTTCAAGCCTTGATTCCAATCTTTGCTCAGTCAATTGGACAGTTGACCTAGAAATCAGTTGTATTGGGGAAAAAGTTAACTATGGTCAATTGACAGTCAAACCTCATGATTTTTGACCCACATCAACATATTGAACTCATATAAACCATTTGGTCAAGTTTGGATCACAATTCCACAAGAAATTTGATCAGATCACCAAAAGGGCAAAATTGTAATTTTTAGGGTTTTGACTGCACAAAGGCAATTTTTGACTGTTTGACCTAGCCAATGGCAAACCAAGCTCATATATGGACTCAAGGACCCAATGGAATTGTCTTGACGTGTTCAACAAATTCAAAAGATCCCAAATGCACAAGATTGACAGATGAATTTTCCAATCAATTGATCAATTTTTGACTGTATACTGAAAAGTCAAACTTTGACTTTTTGGTCAAAATCAAGTGTCAAGATTCATTTTTCATCAAAACATGTCAAATTATGAAACTTGTTCATCAAGAAATCAAAAATCACAAATTAGGGTTTGAAATGAAGAATTTTCATAACTTAGAAATTTTCTAAGTTATGAAAATCCCTAATTTTTTCCTAACTTTGTCCCACTTTCTCATCAAGATGCATGTGGATTCAAGCAAAAGTCAAAACATGAAAGTTGTAGTCCATTGCAAAATCTACAACTTTGATTCACAAAGTTTCCTCAAAAGAACCTTGTAGCTTAAGTTACAATTTTTGGATTAAGGGTGCAAAACCATTCTTAACTTAGAGAAATTTTGACCTATTTTAGGCAGGATTTTTGCCTAGCTTCATGGCCACTTTTCACATGCTTCCACTTGGAATTTCAATTCGCATTACAAAGATGGATTGTAGTACACATTCCAAGATTTCCAAAATGTCCAAGAACTCATCAAACAACCTTATGGTTAGAGAGAATCGAATTTGGCAATATGGGAAAAACTCACTTTGTTCTTGGCCAATTTACATGTTCATAACTTGTGCAATTTTTCAAATCAGCATGCATAAGCTAGTTACAGGCCTCTAATCTCATTTGCACTCAATAATTAAATTCCAATCCATTGTGTGTTAGCATTATTTTGTGCATTTGGACATTACATGAAGAATTAAGCCTTAATTGGAAAAAGCACTTTATCCATTTTTGTAAAGTATGGCTTTATGTCAAGTTTGTGAATCAAGAAGTACAAAGCCATATCTTTGGACACAGGATTCTTGGACATAACACACTGATCAAGAGAGATTGAGGCAGCATACTTGAGGGGCCTGCATAAGCCTAAAGATCAACTTGACATTTTGTTACTTAAGTGTGAAGTAACTTGGCATAACCAACACCAACTCTCATTTCAGCATAGAGAAGCTTAAGCAAAGTTGTTGTACACCTTCCAAATAACCTAACTGAGCTGAAGCACGATCCCATTGAAACAACCGGCTGAAAATCATCAAAACAATGAAGTCGCCATCGAACGTCTTTTATCCCACATGTAGGGAAAGGTAAACATCGAGAAAACCTGAGAAGGGAGAAGTCACGGTCTTGCGACCGAGAGATCGGGTAAGGGAGTCTGTTACGCGAGGGAAAGGTATTAGCACCCCACACGCCCGTAGTACTCTACGGTATCCACTCTTGTTATCTATCTTATGGGTGTGTCGAATCTATGCTTACTGTCTACTATACTACTGAAAGGAATGCATGCAAAAGAAAGGGGAAAAGAATGTAGGGAAAATAAAATTATGCTCGCCTGGGCCCTACCCCAATGCCTACGTATCCTTTTTGAGGAATCAGAGATACCGTAGTTCGGATCACATTTTTTGTTTGTTTGTGTTTTTTATGGACGAAGTTAATCCCGCCTTCTGCCGCAGCTCGACCTTTGGAGACTTATGCGTTGGCACAGAAGTAAATTAATCGTGTCCTTACCTAAAAAGGTTTAAAAGAAATGGTGCTCGAGCGCACAAAAGATTTGAATTTGTCTTGTATTTTGTTATAGATGTTTTTTGTGGACGAAGTTAATTCCGCCTTCTGCCGCAGCTCGACCTTTGGAGGCCTGCGTTGGCACAGAAGTAAATTAATCATGTCCTTACCTGAAAAGGGTTTAAAAGAAAAGTGCTCGAGCGCACAAAAGATTTGAGTTGGTTTATATTTTGTTGTAGATGTTTTTTGTGGACGAAGTTAATCCCGCCTTCTGCCGCAGCTCGACCTTTGGAGACTTATGCGTTGGCACAGAAGTAAATTAATCGTGTCCTTACCTGAAAAGGTTTAAAAGAAATGGTGCTCGAGCGCACAAAAGATTTGAATTTGTTTTGTATTTTTTGTTGTAGATGATGACTGATTGACCTCAAGAGAGAGATATTAGCCATTTTTATACTTAGTTATGAAAAGAGTCTTTGAGAATTGAACCACACCTATGCTTGAGATGAAGAACAATAAGATCGAGAAGAGACTCGCTTATCATTTCCCGTACTAAGCAAAAGCATGATTCTCATCAATAGTTTTGAAGTGTTTTGAATTTTGAAAGAGAAAGAGGTTTTAGTTTTAGGTGCGTATGTTCAAAGAGAAAGGAGAGTCAAATGGGACTAACTTACTTCTAAACCTGATGTTATTATGCGTTAGTAGCCATAAGATTTAGGTTAAAGGGGAAATTTCTACCTGATGTTAGTATGCATATGGATTTGCGACAAAGTACGGAAGTGAAGAATAAAATAGATTTGCGACAATACCGAACGGAGAAGGTCCGTTGCCTCTTCAAAATTGTGCAAGCGGTAAGAAAATTCTGTCAAAGTTCCCTTGGGCAAGTGATTGAAGAATTCACCCCGAGCATTCCACATTGCAAGAGTTATGTCGACGCTTCAAAAAGTCTCGACTAAAAAAAATAAATAAAATGATTATCGAAATATGAAAAATAAAATAGAAAAAATTCTAATCGAAATTCTAAAAAGAAATTCTATTCTAAAAATATTCTATTATTTTTGTTGTTTTATTATTGATTAAAAAAAATTAAATTAGAAGAAAAAAACTAAAATAATAAAAGAAAAGAAAAAAAATTAGAAGAGTTAGGGGGTATGAAGTCTAAAAATATGGGTGTTGAAGTAATTTGCCTAAAAGATTTTCAACATTTTTATTTATTATTTTCTTAATTATAATTATTATTAATTTGAAATAAAAATAATAAAACAAAAATAAACTTGTGCAATAATTAAAACCAAGAAAAAAGGAAAAGATGTGAAAATTAGAAAGGGGATTTTAGGGTCAGAACAAAAAGGTCTCTTCTTCTTCTTCGCGAACGCGGCGCCGGCCGTTTGCTTTCTTCGTTCTCCGTCGCGACTTCAAACCTCCATGCTCGCTTTCTTCGTTCCGTTTCTTCATCCGTCGTGCTCAGCTCTCCTCCACGATATCACTCAACCTCTCCGTCTCTACTTCCGAAGCCGCTCACCACCGTCACTTCCTCGCCGCCGTCCGTCACTTCCTCGGCCTTCCACCACTCCGATCTCCAGCGGCCATGGCCCTCGCGTTCAGCAGCAACAACATAATGTCTCCCTCAAATTTTAGCGGTGGCGCTCAACCTTCGCCTCCACGACTTTTCTCACCTCTTAATTTGACCTCACCTTTGCTTCGAACAAAACTCCGTCTTCGGCCTCATCTCTTTGAATCTGTGCCTCTTCTCTTCTTCGATGATGAGGACGAACAAAGCGGAGCCGCTAACATAGGTATGATCTTGAGATATTTTCTTTGAAGTTCCTTCTTCTGAACGTGAATTGTTGTGCGTTTCTGAGATGGTTTTTGTTGTTGTGTGATGTTGTGTGGTTTTGCGATGCAGATCGAAAGTGCAGAAGTGACGCACCGAGGTGCTGCAGTTGAACTATTGTTGAAGGTTGATACGTTGCGATGGAGATGATGAAATTATGAGAGAGAGATTGAAGTAGAAGATTCGTTGTCGTTATGCAAAGAACGTTGCAGATTGAATGTGTGCATTGAAGTTGTACTGAAGATGATGAAGATGAAAATTCTTGTGCAGAGAGAGAATATTTATGGAGTTTTCTTGGAGTTTCCTGTGATTCTTCTATGAAGATTGAAGAATGATTGAGGATGAAGATGCATAGAGTTTTTTTTGGTTTTTTCTGAGGGTGATTCTTCAAGTGGTGAAGAATGAAATGATTGGGAGGTAATTCTATTTTTATTCTGTTAGTAAATCATATATCTATTCTGTCCACCTTTTTGCATATGCTGTGTACTCTATTTATATATGCTGGAAGTTTGTTATGGTTGGTTATTGATCAAAGGTGATGGTGAAAATTGGTTAGAAGTATGTTAAGTGGTTAGGAGGTAGTTAGTTATTCTGTTTTTTATTGGTGGTTATGGTTAGTTTTGCAAATATGTTGTGGGTTAGTTTTCTGTTAGGGACTCCTTTTGACAGTTGAGTTTTGTTATGCTTGGTTTGGTAATTGGTTAGGATTTATGAATTGAATTGTTTTATTGGACTGATTTTAGTGTGGATTGGTTTAATGGTTTTATATTCTTCAGGCAGCAGCTGGTTTGGTACTTTGATACGGGGCTGCAGGTTTTGGCATAGCTGAAGAGTTGATCATGGTCATGATTTAGAAGCTTGAAGAAGGGCTTAAAATATGGATCTCATGGAGTTTTGGCAAAGGAGGCTATAGATGAGGATTAAGTCATAGGTTTAATGTAATGTGTTATTTTGTAATTACATTGGTAATGCAAGCTTCTTGTGAAAATTCCTTCTATTTTGGAAAGTAGATGGTTTGGAGTTGTAATGGTATTATTGAATGTAACATAAAATATGAATTATTTTGCTTTGTAAAGAAGTTTGCTTCCACTTCCATGCTGAATATTCTAAAGAAATGGCTTTGAACCCTCTTTTAATATTTGGTGGAAATTTGAATGAAACTTGAATGTTCTTGAATGCAATATTAATTTGGCAATTCCAAATCTTCAATTTCATATCCAAAATCAAGTTCTCTTCAAATAGAACTAAGAGCTCCTAATGCTTCCCTTTATTTGCAACTTGAAAGAAACATATGATATCGAACCTTTTTTATGGATGACTTACGAGATAAACTCAAAGCTGACATAAAGAAAGACTTTTATTTGAAATCCAAAATCTTGATCATGGATGAACATGGTGTGCTTTCTTCTTCGAAGTGACTTGAATTCCAAGGAATCCACGCGAATATTTAAGAACTTTGATTTTCTCCAAATCCACTTCAAATATTGATGAATGAATTCTAATCAAACCACAGCTTCAGTGAACCCCTAATTTAATTCAATTCCTCAGTATAAACCAAACTTGTGTGTCAAGCAATAAATATTTGAAATAACGACACCTTGATCACAATCAACATCTTGTACCATGTCCCGATTATATGAGCACTAGAATAACGACGTCTTGGACCCCTTCTCAATAGATGATAATGACCATGCCCTGAGGAATTCTTTGCAGATGAATATGAAAGATGAGACATGCGAATACCTTGATATGGAATGAACCTCAGGTAGAGTGCTGACAAGCTTAAATACGAAAATGTATAGACCCTGATTTTTTAGCTTCGTCTCATAAAACCTTGCAACTTGACATTGAGAAGAAAAAAATAGCATCGTAGCTTGATGATGATAAGGTCCATGAAATGAAAACCTAGCTTCAATCAGCCGAAACAAGCTTGTGCGAAGATGGGAGCCTTAAAGCCATACACCAACCCTTATTCCTTGAAATCCATGATCTTATGCCAATTTATTGATTAATGATGCATGATGTGTTAGATGACCTAATGTGAGAAAAATGCAAGAATGCGTAAGCCAGATAAAAGTAAAAGGGTAGGACAAATTTGGGGTATTACAGCTGCCCCTATTTAATTGTCTTAAACCTGAAAGTACGATTGGCACATGCCTTTCGGAAGTTCAAGGTTGAAGATGATTAAATATCAATGCCAAAAATTTGTCCTGAGGGATAATGAGTGTAAGTGTTTTCTTTATTTATTTATTTTGTGATTTGCTGGGGAAAGGAAATTTGTTTTTTTTTTCAATAAAGAGACAGAGATTGAACTTGTAACGTGGCGTGATGCCAATACAAGACAAATGGTTGGTATGAAAAGACAGCGGACGAGGTCTACGGGCGACCTACGATCCGAGGGTGACACACGAGAGTGATTTGACGGAGAACCTAGCCAAAGGGCGATCTCAGGTTCTAAGACAAAGTATATGGAAGGAACCTAGCCAAGAGGCGATCTTAGGTTCGACAAAGGTTTGAGGGAAGAACCTAGCCAAGAGGCGATCTCAGGTTCGACGGTGATTTGAAGGAAGAACCTAGCCAAGAGGCGATCTCAGGTTTGACAAAGGTTTGAGGGAAGAACCTAGCCAAGAGGCGATCTCAGGTTCGACGATGATTTGAAGGAAGAACCTAGCCAAGAGGCGATCTCAGATTCGATGATTTGAAGGAAGAACCTAGCCAAGAGGCGATCTCAGGTTCGACGATGATTTGAAGGAAGAACCTAGCCAAGAGGCGATCTCAGGTTCGACAAAGGTTTGAGGGAAGAACCTAGCCAAGAGGCGATCTCAGGTTCGACAAAGATTTGAAGGAAGAACCTAGCCAAGAGGCGATCTCAGGTTCGACGAAGATTTGAAGGAAGAACCTAGCCAAGAGGCGATCTCAGGTTCGACGATGATTTGAAGGAAGAACCTAGCCAAGAGGCGATCTCAGGTCCGACAGAGGTTTGAGGGAAGAACCTAGCCAAGAGGCAATCTCAGGTTTGACAAATATTTGAAGGAAGAACCTAGCCAAGAGGCGATCTCAGGTTCGACAAAGGTTTGAAGGAAGAACCTAGCCAAGAGGCGATCTCAGGTTCGACAAAGGTTTGAAGGAAGAACCTAGCCAAGAGGCGATCTCAGGTTCGACAAAGGTTTGAAGGAAGAACCTAGCCAAGAGGCGATCTCAGGTTCGACAAAGGTTTGAAAAAATATTAAAATCAGTTTTCCCACATTTTTTGCATTTATTTTGGTATTTATTAGGCTTTATTTAGTTTTGTATATAAATAAACCTAAATATACTATTATTTTAAAATACTAAAAAACAATACAAACATGTTTTATTTCTGATTTTTATTTTATATTATCTCTTGAAAACATTTTACATAAAATATACTTTTTTTAATAATATTAAATATATTATTTTTGTACATATAATATATATTTAATAAATAATATGAATACTTATATATTTATTAGTATATTTAGGGAAAATACAAAGAATTAATGCATTTTATTTTTATTAATATTTTGACCTCAAAAATACTTTTGTACAATATACCTTCTTTTATTTATTTTTGTACATAATTAATAAATATTACATATATTAAATAATTAATACATTTTGTTTAATAAAAATTAGGGTTTTGCCCTAAATACTTAAAAATACCAAAAAATTAATTTATTTTTATTTTTGTTTATTTGACACATAAAAATACTTTTTTTCATACATATAAAACCATTTTTTGCATCTTGCATATTTATTACATTATTATTTAATTGTTGTATATTATATATTTTGTATAATTCAATTTGGATGTAATAGTTTAGGTTTAATTTCTTGCTAAATATCCCCATTTGAACATTTGTACCCCCCATCCCATATATTGTGTTGTAATAACTTAGGACCTTTTATTTTTCACATTTAAAAGCTTTCTAATTATACCATGATAGAATTAGGATTTTGTATGCAAAATTAACCAAAAAATAGTTTGACCTAAACTCAAGATAAACAAGCATGAAAATGGACAACACTAATCACACTTGCACCCTTAGGGTTACTCCACTTGTTGCCTTCAAATAATGGGCCATATTGCATGTTAGGTATCTTTGGCAAAAACAAAACAATCAAATGATCATAGTCCCTCGATGATGCTTTCGAAAGTTGCCTAAAAATGATCAAGTCCCTTAAAGAAGAATTGCCCGAAGATGCTTAGCACAATTGCACTCATGGTCTAAACGATGACCCGCGCCTGTCCCGTTCACATCCTAACACAAGATTGTCCACCAAATACAATGGTGGAACAAAATTGTTAAAAGGGTTAAAAACATAGGAGAAATCTTTGAGAAATTTAGGAGTAGATAAACTCTTAGTTACTTGAATCAAATTTGCAAAAACACTTGCCTATTTTCAAAACCACACCTCACAAACACATTTTCAAAACAAACTTTTCAAAAACATTGAAAACTTTTCAAAAGACATACACCTTTGTATACATCCAAACATGGATCATTGCAAAGGTTGCCACCACATTGGCCTCTTTTCAAAACATCTTTCAAAACCACACACAAAGCACCATTTCAAACAATTGAAAGCACTATTTCAAACAATTGAAAGCACCATTTCAAACAATTGAAAATCAAGGCAAGTTGATCTAATCAAGTAACTAAGAGCCCATGGATAACCATGGATATAAAGGATGCTAATACCTTCCCTTTCTATAATCTACTCCCCGAACCCAAGAAAACATCTCAAAGGTTTTTGCTGTGCTTTTTAACCTTTCCTTAGGATAAAATAAAAAGTCGGTGGCAACTCTTGCTCAACCGAAACATTTGCGAAAACAAACACAAAACCCAAGTCAGTTCTCCCAACGTATCACAAGGAGGTTCGCAGCGAAATTCTTCATCATCATTAGAATTCTTTACAAGCGTAACCATGATTCAACCTTACTGCATTGTGTGGATAAGAACGAAGCGGAAAGAATTATGGCAGAGTTACATGAAGGTACTTTCAGAACTCATTCCAGTGGACATACCATGGCAAAGAAAATCCTACGGGAAGGATACTATTGGTCCACAATGGAAGCCGACTGTTATCAGCA